TTGTGGCTAGGCTGCACTCTGTGGGGGGCACATTATAAATAATTGTTTTTATTTGTTTTTCCTATCTTCTTATGCTCAGATGATTGGATATACCATGAAGATGAGTGTGAGAAAACAAGACTCCTATGAGAGGACAGTCTACTTCTGTTGCTAGAAGGACAGCTATTTGAAGTGCCTTATGACTGTTGGCTTTATCTTTTTTAGAATACTAGATTGTTGTAAGCAAGAAATGTTATTGTTAAGCCTCTGAATGGGAACTGTACAGTGAATAAGGTTCATATATTAATATGGGAGATTGCCAACAGAATTAGAGGCAGCTGGAGGTTGTGGCTATGGAAGCCTTTGCCCAGCTTAGGTTGGTGCATCAGTTATAACCCTAATTGGACCAGGAAGTCTTGGTAATGGTAACTCCTGGCCTGATCACCACATGACTGCAACACTATATGGGGATGGGCATGAATGGACAAAGGTTCTGTTGCCTTGAATGAATCTTCTATGCTTACCTCTGCTGTACCAACGTAAACTAACCTAAGTTTAGGTTGGTACAACAGAGGTAGAAGGGCCATAAGGCATATTCCTAATAGCTCCAGTTAATATAAAGATGGTTTGCTGTTTATCTCAGAAAAAAAATGGCGCAACTGACTATGGATATCTCAGGTAGTTTGTGCGTGAATACACAAAAGGGCAGGTGTATTGCACTGTCTATGTAATAGTTGCTGAGCATGTCCTATTGACTTCTCAGGTTGGTGTCCATTCTGGGGAGACAGATCCTAATGCAGACCAAGAACTGACCATTCCGACACTGATTATTTCCTAGAAAGTCCTATATAAGATTCTGTTATTAAAGTCTATCTCAATAAAAGTAGTTTTAGTCCCTATGTGGAGTTTATTTCTTGGTCTGGTTTACCTAACAGGGATTGTATCAATCTTGGAAGTTTCATTGTGTTTTTCCTCCTCCCCCTCTGAATTAGGGAGGTGTCTGTCTGAGCTGATTCTCAATGTTATCTGATTGTTCTGGACTTAAAAGAATTTACCTCTTGTCGTCTTGGCAGTGGAGCTTGCATATCTCCATCAAGGTCATCTTGCTTACTCTCTACACCCTAGTCCTAGGGCAAGAGTTCCTCCCCTTTACCACAATGGCTCTTTAAATGACCTGTTCTGTTAACTGCTTCTGAACACATGCATTTACAGAAAATATAGTAACAGATTGACAACTGCTTTCCTATAGACATAAAGTTTTCTGCTTTTTTATCATTTCATAACAAAATCAATAACCTACAAAACTTAAAAAGTATACATAAACACTCTTTTATGATTTTTAACTTTAGAAAGCTTCTTTCGTAAATTTTAGTCAAGCCCTGAGAATGACACAAAATAAATGACAGTAATCTGTCATGTTTCCACAATTCCTCCCAGACTGATTCAAGTAGTTATTTATGAACCTGAGATGCCAATGGTCATTTTGATGACTAAACCATAAATTAGCATTTAAAGAGAATATAAATTTGGTTTCACAGAAGCAACAAATTACTAGGCGGCTGGGATATTATTTAATTTTTATTGACATGTCATGGAAAAAGAAAGTCAGCAAAAGGTGGTGTGCTACATTTTAATAAACCTCAAACTCCAAAATACATATATTTGATCAGCTCTATTGTTTAAAAACTGTATAGATGTTTTAAGTTTAAAGATTTCTAAAAGTCCTAGTTCATGATAATACTCTTTGCTATCCAAATTATTCAGACATAAATAGGCAATAAAATAGTATTACACTTCAAAATAACGTGAATATCCTTAAAATTTGCTAATACAATTTACACAATCATGTGCAAAAAATAGAGCAGTTTTAATATAGCTCTAGGCATCATGAAGCAATTTATTTTTACCCTTATGAAGTGTTGCTTAAAACTGTCAAAGCAATTTGGTTAATAGCAGTCTCTGCATTTAGACATTAAATTTACAAAGCTTAAATGGGAAATTTTTTTTATATCATTTTGAAAATAATTTCATATTTAAGACTTCCTATGCAACCGCAATTTATTTTTACCCTTATGAAGTGTTGCTTAAAACTGTCAAAGCAATTTGGTTAATAGCAGTCTCTGCATTTAGACATTAAATTTACAAAGCTTAAATGGGAAA